TTGTTGCTTTTGAGAGCACAAAAATATTTCGTTGATTTCCTTTGTAGATTCCGAGAGCAGTATTGCGTTTTTCTGTTGGTGGGGAAATTCCAAACAAGTTGCACACTTCTACTCCAGAGTTCACTTTCTTTTACATAGATGACCTCGCTTCTGATGTGTTACCTTACTGATAGGATCTTTACTTGTAGCACTATAACTGGTGGGAATATTTTTTTATGTGAACCTAATTTGATGAGAAGGTTAAATGAACTTTTTTGAAGCACTCACATTGAGAGGAGTACAGGTAACGTTTTTTTAAAAAAATTGCACAAAAGAAAAGAATGTTTGGAATGATTCATTCAGTATTTGAAAAGCGATGGATATGTTGAAAACCGTGTGTTGTTTGTAAAAATTAAATAAACCTACAAAAGTCGAGAAAGGGTGAAAGTTACATTTTTTGTATATAGAAGACTCTCATGGGTTGGTTATGGCAGGAAAGAATGCCTAATTAACAGGTTTTTCAAAGACAGTATACTTAGGTTTGCATTTTCATTATATAAGTCGCATTATTGGGGTAGGGGAGAATGGTCACCTTTAACAGCATTTGAGGGCTGTTTGTCCCTCTTTAATTTAATTGAAGTTGATTGGGATGTCATGACATCTTCTAAGGATGATTTTGTTTTTGCACTTCCTGTACTTAAAAAAAGAAAACAACCCAAAGAATTTCAGAGCGGACAAGAAGTGTTTGTTACAAGGGATTCTCAAGGTGAATAAAGAAGTGAGGGAGATCCTATGGTCTCCTGTAATTCCCCTCTTCCCCAAACCCATACATACACATGTACACCTCTCTTTTTATGCCTGGAACTGTTAAAGACAATGTTAGTTATTCTAGCAGTTGTACAGAGAGTTTGTTATTATTTTTCATTTGGTTCTGGAAATGTTTATTACTGGCACACCAAAAATGAAGGGAATCTAGGAAAACTAGTACTTCTGAGGAAGAGGTCCAAAATGTTTTTACAAAAGGAAGCCTTTAAAATGAAGAGGATGATGGGGGATGGCTGATGGTTTTCTGAATCCTTCTCTCCTTGTGCCGTGCAGTCTCTAGAAATAATTTGAGTCTAATTCTGGTATTTAATATAGAAGAGAGATAACTTCTGTATTAATATGAATCCTTCAGGTGCAGTGGGATGGCCTCTCATACAATCAAATGAAGTACTTTTAGTGAATGACTAGTGTTTCTATAATAGGGATTGCAAAAATTAAGTTTATTCTCGCTGTTATTGAAAAGGACCTGAGTCTTCCATGAAAATTGATCCAAGGCTTCATTAAGGTTGCTTTTGTTTGTTCATTTACTTTCACTTGATCAAAGCTTTGGTTCCCTTTTCTTCAGCCAACCAATAGGCAGCACTGGATGTATCTTCTGCAATAGATTTAACTTGCTGGTGCTGGAACCGCTTATAAGAAGTCTACTGGAAATCAGTTTCATTGAGGCCAGGGATGTGACATTATAAAGGCCCAGATTACAGGGACTTGCATTTTACAAAGATCCTGCTTGACAACAATTCTGAGTGCAATAGCAGCTTATGAATTATTGACAACACTAAACACTGGATTATACAAAATCACTCTTTAAAGGTATTCTATTTAATTTTAAATCTATTCAAAACCAACAGTGGCAGACACAGATAGACAAGCCAAAAAAGAGGGGCACCAGGAGAGTTCTTTGAAAATTACCGAGGTGTGTACATTTCCTCTTGCAATTAATCTCTTTGTAACTGAAGTTAGATTAATTTTAAAATTAGACTATAAACCTTTTCCAGCCAAGAGACAAAAATGAATGCAGTAAATGCAGCCATTTACTTCCCAAAGAAATGCAAATGTAACATATATTGAGGCTCTGTGATTGGTGGTAGAAGTTAAAATTTGGAAATGTTCATATTTTTTAAAACAATAATTGTTTGATTAAATTCAAACTGCAAATTGTTCTGCATCTATTTAACCCCAGGGAATAGGCCTCAAGTACTTGAAATGCCTCAAAGTGTTGGGTTTTGTAAATATGCTAAGCATTTCCTTAGCTGATCGATCATTTCTCCCATGTTTTTATTGTATCTCAGGATTTTTGCCTCATAATTCTGTGAAGATGTACAGCTTTATCTTGACTTAAAAATGTTTTAAAGAGAAGGCATGACATCAGAACGCACCTTTCTGTCTCTAGCATTTAAATAATTAAGTGAAATAGACAAATTTCAAATGCCTGCTTGCAATTTTGGTAGTATTTTATCAGTGGTTTGAGCAACCAGCAAATTCTCGATGAATGTTTCCCAAATCAATACGTAATTCATGCTGTGCATATTTCTTTTACTCACACAATTACAAAATACACTTTCAATGTCCTGCCAGATGTTGGCCTGGAGAAAGGGGCACCATAGCTTTATGCTGAGGTCATATTGGGCTGACATGGCCAGTACAAAGGAGAAATAGGGAGGGAACGTTTCGCACCTTATAGAATAAGAAGAGAAATTGCATACCGACATAGGTAAGAGCTTTTATTGTGACAAGAACTTTTTCCATATGCGTGCATACTCTCTGTAATTCCAGTGTAAAATATTGTACTTGCACTAGCTTTTTTTAAAACAAATATGAAAAAAAAATGGAAGAATTCATATTCTATTTTCTAATCGTGGTGTGTCTATTTGTAGGATACACTCGCATCTGTTTATTGAATTTTATGGTCCCTTTCTTTGATGGTGCTTGCAGGTTTTCTAGGTAGAAATTATTTCATTATGATAATAAAACAATGTTTGATTCAAAATTTGAACAAAATTGTTTTAAATAAATTGTCTGTATACCAGTACAAGTTTATTGTTTCAGTATACTCGTACTAATAAAATAACAGTGCCAATTGCAAATTAGTGTTCTTTGTAGTGTTTAAGAGGTTGGTAGTAGTTCCTCTTTGAAAGATCAATTTTTTTCCACATGAATGTTTTTCCGAGGATTTACTTTATGACAAGTTTTGTTCACAGGTTGCAGAAATCCATAATACATGCATATTTTATGAACTTTCTGAAATAATATACAAGCACTCATTGCGCTGTCAAGTTTGCCTTGTGCTACCAGTTAATCGAAGTAACTTTTAACAGCGCAGCTTATATTATGCTCTGAATATACCTAGCAAAGTTTCATAGTTTTAGCTTTCTCTTTACAAACCACATTAATTAGTTGATGTAGAAGCATTTTATTCAGTTGCTTGACTCTACTAGCATTTTCAAACTATATAGTGAAGATCTGTTATGCTTAAAATGAAGAAAACTTTGGAAGTGGCAAAAAAATTGTGTTTAGAGCATTTATCACAAATAAATCCCAAAAGTCAGAATTCCAAGGTTTGAGATAAAGTGGTTGCAGTCATCTCCTTGGGTGTAGTGCAGGTACTTGGTACAGGTAGTCCTCATTTAATGACCCTAACTGGGATGAGCAACTTGTTGCAGTTGTTAAGTGAAATGTAAATGTGCCAATTGATCACAGGAATTTCAGCAGTCTCAGTTGCAGCGTGAAGCAAATCACCCCGACTTCCTGCTGGCTTCACCATTGTCCTTGCGTATCAGAAGCTGACTGGGAAGGTTTCAGATGGCAATCACATGACCACAGGCATGCTGCAATGGTCATTAAGTGCGAGGACTAGTTGTAAAGTCACTTTTTTCCAGCACCATGGTGACTTCAAACAGTTGCTAAACTGCTAAATTTTCTGTACTCAGAAAATGAGGCCAGATGGTCCGGGGTGGGGGGCGGGGGGGGAACATCCCACTTAAATTACATAGCCCTTCTATTTATATGAAAGTTGTTTGATGCTAAGAACTGGCCCAAGGCAAATATTTTTCAATACAGCGAACACTTTCCCCCATCATTTACTGAACATTTAAGAGCCACAATTATGAAACTTCTCAAACTTATAATGTATTACAACAATTACACTCAACCCTATTAAACAACCGGACTAAAAAGTCCTGTTTCCAAAGCCTTACTCAAGGTCATTAATCTCAGGTTTGATTCACACATACATGTGGCGAATACTGGGTTTCCAGGGCTCATCTTCATATAAAAGGATTGTAAAGTGACAGACGTTTGCCTAAATGAATTACTTAAGTCACTTAGTAATCCATAGTCACTACTGTTTTTTATTTTTCCTGGAAATAAATAAGTACCCAGTGTAATTTTTAATTTTAGCATAATGGGGTTTTCCAAGTCTTGTTTTGTATCATGGAAACGCTTTGAATCCGATTCAAGCTTTTCATTCTTGTATGCCAGTGAGCTGTGGTTTCTGTCATTACAATTCCACATTGCATTTTTAAAAATGTATCTGGACATTTGAGAAGCAGCTGCATCTGTTATTTCTGGACATGCAAACCACGTCCTCTACTTGCATGGATATACCTGAGATTTGTTTTTTGCTTTGATTTTGCTAGGCGGAAGGCCTATTCTACCTGCCTGCCTACAATGGAGTAAGTAGGCACACTGAAAGACAGTTAGCTACTCGGGAGGTAAATCTGCTTTTCACTTCTCTTATATGGTGCTTCTTTACCTAAAAGGACACCACAGATAAATGATGGAATCAACATACCAGTAGATGTCACAATTCAAAGGTTTTTAAAAATATTTCTACATACTATATAAATCAGCCCAAAGGAAAAGAAGAGTTATACGGCTTTATGTATGCATAATTCTTCTAAAAACAATCAGTAGCTGGTTTTGTTGTTCCATTTCATTATAAACTTGTCAGCTACCAGATTTGGGCTGCAATAATTGAGACAACCACTGGGTGGCAGAAAAGAAATGTCAAAACTTTCAAATATAGTATCACAACTTATACGTTACACTTTAATTACCAATTACTCAAATTTTACTTGGACTTTGAAAAAAAAACATCAATGATATAGTAAGACTCTATAGCAGGGGTGTCAAACTAGTAGCCCGCAGGCTGGATGCGTCACATGTAGGCCCTATCCACCCCAGTGCCGCAAATGGAAAAAATGTCACTAAACATCACGTCATGGCAATGTGACGTGGCGAGTGTGACCTATAGGGTAATTTTAAAAAGTAAGGAACTTTACTTGCAGTAAAACTACTTTGTATATATGCAGCTTCAGGATTGTTATAGTGAATCTTCTCTGCATACATCAAGTTCCTGCCTCATAAAAACTGCCTCATAAAATTATGAAAAAAAAATGTCATATAATGGATAGGTTGTGTATATTACAATAGTGATATGGAAAATGAGATCTAGATCTTGCACAACCAGAACACATCTCTATTTATTACTTTAGCATGTCTTTTTTCAGGCTTCCATGTGATGCCAAATAAGATGGTTCTTTTAAAACATTGTTAAGATGATTCTTGAAGCAGCCACTTCTTTACACTCATACCTGTTCATGGAGTTTGAAACATTTCTTCTGAATCACTTTCAAAGCAGTCCTAATTGCACGAGTTCTAAACCAGTGTGTGATCTATGTGTGCAAGGGGATGACTGCACACAAATCCAAGTTCGATCCAAACAAAATATTTGATTACTTAAAGATCCAGTGACAAAAAGTGGATCATAGCCCTGCTGCCTTGGGTAAAGTTCTCCTTTGAAGACATCTCTCTTAATATCAACAATATCATTTCACGAGTGGAACAGATTCAGACCATCATGTAGTTTCTCCCAAATCTGTTCCAGAAGGCTCTGGAACAGATCTAGAACATTCAAGATGAGGACTGTAATAAGTAGTCCTGGTTATGAGAAACTAGCCTCGTGGATTAAAATAATCTAATCCCACCAACAGGCTCTCAGAAGCAATAATGGGAACTATTATTGGCAGGGAAATCCTTGTAATTCTGATTTGATTACGAAAATATCGGAGTATCAGTGGTAATTCCAAATCGCTCTTCTGTCATAATATGCCTATTTCTTGGCTAGACTATCTGTCTACATAAAACGATCACTGAATGAGGGATAGTTCCTTACTCTATTCAATTGTTCCCTTGTCATATATCCCTTGCCTCTCTACTATGCCCATCTATTCTACTTGATTAAAATTGATATTTCTAAGAAAAGCTGGTGGTGACTCACAGAAATTAGACCCCCCCCCATCCACCCTGTTAATGACAATAAAGGAGACTAGTCTTGACCCTACTTCCGCAGTTTTGTAACAGAAGATGTTGAATCTTCTTTAATAGAAATGAATGCAGTGCTACATTCCCTGTACACAAGAAAATAAGAGGTGCACATGAGAGGGCCTGATGAGAAAAACCTGGTTTTCCCACCCGACGCTTACAAATTGAGTTTGACCGGAGCTAATCAATCAATATTTCAGATTGTTCAATTTGCAGAGAAATCTTTCTAGGTCTTATTTTGTAGTTTTTGAAAACAGTTCTTTTGAAAACAGATTTTTTTTTAATGAATGGTGGTTTTTGTTTTAATTTGGCTTTGCACATAGGCTCAGCTGTGGAATGGCAGTGCTTCTCTTGTCTTTGCCCAAAGGCATTGGAAAAAAATAATAATTAACCATCATTAGGGCTTACCTCTTTCATCTTCAAAATGAGCTGAATGAACAAAGAGTAGCTCCATTTGCAATGTCGAAATATATCCCCACCAACAACAACAAAGCATTACAATAAAGGGAGTGTAACTATTTAATCAACCATTTTAAGAACTTATAATGGTTATTATAATAATCAGCACACGTTAAAAATTGAGCACTTGATGCCTCTGTGAAAATAAAACAGGATTATTTGTTTTATTCTGTAAGTGCTATTCCAAGATGGCATGCTGGAGTAGTATCGATGCAGTGAGGGTTTTCTGGGCTTTGGAGTTGCTTTCCTATTCTTCTGACTTTCATCACCCATTGCAAGAGCAGTTGAAACTTGAAATATAAAATCCTGTGAACGGCTTTGCTTTTTCTGGTAATGGCAGATCCAACAGACAAATACTTTGCAAATGGACATCTAAGTCCCTCTGATCGGTTGTTCCGAAAGATCAATCTAGATTTCTTAACTTAAATAGACAAGGATACAAAAATACCACTGAACAATCTGAACAAATCGTGGACCCAGAAGCAGTTCAAGGCTTGTTCTCATTAGGCCCAGACCCAACCATTACAAACAATCAATGGCATTAAGCAACCTGCTTCTTTCCTAGTTTGGAATATAATCACCTCCCCATCCTGCAAAAAAAAAAAAAAAGAAAGAAAAGTGGAGGAGAAACAGAACGTAGCAAATTTCACATCTCCAAAGGCCTGGGGTTTTCTTCTTTGGCTAAGAAAAGGTTGTGTTGTGTTGCTGAGTTACCCGAATAAAGGTTGTCCTTCGACTAAGCTCTTTGAGTTTGGCAGCTCCCACATACGTGCAAGCAGAACGGAGACCACCCAGGATGTCACGAACAGTATTTTCTACATCTCCTCTGTAGGGGACTTCCACTGTTTTACCCTCCGAAGCTCTGAAAAGGAAAATAATTTCACTTGCATTGCTGGGCTGCCTTCTCTGGAATTAAAACTATTAAAACATATTATTAAAATATGGAACCCTGGTAGCACAGTGGTTAAAGTGCAGCATTGCAGGCAGACTCTGCCCACAGCCTGGAGTTTGATCTTGATGTGGCTCAAGGTTGACTTAGCTTTCCATCCTTTTGAGGTCTATAAAATGAGGGCTCAGGTTGTTGGGAAAAATATGCTGGCATTGTAAACTGCCCAGAGAATGCTGTAAAGCACTATGATGTATAATCTTAAATGCTATTGCTATTTCCAAATGCTATTTTATCCAAACACAGACATATTTGCTTGTATTGCAATCTGAAATAAAACCACCTGGAAGGTAACCATAGACATTCTTCACTGCACTTACTATTAATCTAGATAGCATGTGCATGAGTTTGTATGAGGCTATTTATTAAACAGAGAGAATTAGCACCCATTTGCGTCTTGTGAAAATCCTCACAATATACTTGTAAGCATATTTTAACCCTTCAAAGATGCGGTTTCATTGTTCAATTATAAGAATTATTTACATATTAATTTATTAGAGAAATGTGTTTATTTCCCAAATGTTAATGTTAATTTGCCCCAAATCAACAGATGCCTCCCAATGGTTTCATATGTATCTTAAATAACGGGGAGGAGAAAGTCCCACAGTATCCTAATCTCGAATAGTCTTGACTTTAAATGCTCCTGCCACACTAGTACCTATGGAGCTGCTCACTCTAGAACAACTAAGCCCAATGAAATCACCCCAACTTTGTTTCGGATGGTGCCTACCATGCATATTCCATGTTGTCAGAACCTAAATTTGAGATGACAGGAGGTGTGATGACATTTTCAAGTAAGCTTCCAACTGATTGTTAGTGTGACTGCACATCTGCAACTAGCCAAACATTTGTCATCTGAGAGCGTCTGGGTGATGGTGGGAGTAGTAGCAATAAATCAAGTCAACCATATGGTTGAATTTCCACCCCCCTTTTTAACTTACATTATGCCAGACATATAAAAGGGGTGGGGCTTCGATCATATTTTGCCCATCATTTAAACTTCCTCCAACAATAAAATCTTGTCTGTTATTTGATTCAATTAGTAAAGCGACCCTTTTCAGAATCAAAGCAAGTAAATACTATGCAAAAACATAGTTACACAACAAAGTCAACTCTAATCAACATATAAGCCTGGAAATAAGAACACATGCTCTTGTCATAGAACAAGCTCATCTAACAGCCTGGCCCAGGGCATGGGAGAAAAGCCAGGTCTTTAGAGCTGTATGAACAACCAGTGGAGTCAGAGCCACTCAAATTTCAGGAGGAGCTTATTTCAAAAGACAGGCTTAGCCAGAGAAATGGCCTATTTCCTGAAGTCATCTTGCTTCAAAGAAGGGACTTGGACCATGCCCACTCTGACCTCAGGGACAGGAAAAGACCACATGACAGTGGTGGTCCTGCAGGTAACCTGGTTCTGTGCCAGGCATGACCCAACAGATGATAACCAGCATCTTGAACTTGGGTGTCCGCTAAATTCTGCATTCAGCAACATGCATTACTATACACACCGCTGCATTCTGGACCAGCTATAGCTTCCGAATGGCTTTGAAAGGCAGCTCCACGTGGAGCACATTGCATTTCTGTTTGCTGCCAATTCCATATGAAGAAAACCGGAAGTTCAAGAAGTGGCCTGGCATATTATGCTGGAAAGGGAGTGGTACCTGTAGTCGGCAACACCACCTGCGTGCTTCTTCATAGCGGTGTCGGAGCTCATGCCGTAGAAAAGCTTCACTTTTTTACCATTTTTTTCTATAATATCTCCAGCACATTGATCATGTCCTGCAAACATGCCCCCCAGCATCACAAAATCAGCACCAGCTCCTGTGAGTGGCAGGAAGGAAAAATAGAGGAGGGATTAAGCCAAAGCAAAATTGCATTTACAGTGTTTAAATACAGGGCCGCATCAATAAATGCGATCTCCTTATCAATTCAAGGGTTATATATACACCGGGACTCCTGGACTTGTGACCACAATTCAACCCAAAATTTATGTTGCTAAGCAAGACAGTTGTTAAGTGAGTTCTTGCCCAATTTTATGGCTTTTCTGGTCATAACTGTTAAGTGAATCGTTCCAATTGCAAAGTTAGTGACCTGGCTGTTAAGTGAATCTGACTTTGCTTGCTGGAATGTCACAAAAGATGATCTGGGACATTGCAATTGTCATAAATACGAACCAGTGGCCAAGCATCTGAATTTTGATCCTACGGCCATGGAGATGTTGCAACAGTTGTGTAAAAAACAGTCATAAGTTACTTTTTTCAGTGCTATCACTGTCACTAAATGAATGATTTTAAGTTGCATTTCCTATATTTCAGCAATAGACAGTCCTCACCAAAAGCTTTGGCCACGTCTCCTGGGCAGCTGCATCCTCCATCCTAAAAAAAGGATGGGAAAAAAGAGAAGACATCAGGATATTCAACTCCATTTGTTCCTGTTACATACTGACAATTTGAACTTGGTGTTGGGAGAAGGATTCAGCCTAAGCATTTATAGAAACAAGAACAAGAAAGTGGCAGCATCAAACCTTTTTCATAAAAAGTTTAATTTCAATAGACTGAGCACATTATGAGAGCATAGTGGTTAAGGCCTCAGGCTAGAAAGCTAGCTGGGTGACCTTGGGCCAGTCATGTGCTCTCAGCTCTAGGAAGGAGACCAGGCAAGCTACTTCCGAAAAAAATCCTTGCCAAGAACATTTCAAGGACTTGTCAGGCAGTCACCAGGAATCAACACTCACTTGAAAGCAACCCTTCAAAAAAAAAATGCAGATTAAAATTCCATTTACTGTTTGGTCTGTCTTCAAAGGATTTGGCAGGGTAGAATGCAGATTTCTTAAAAAGTACTGGAAACGGGATTTAAGTATAATTTTACTCCAATCATTAATGAGAATATATTTGTCCACACAAGCCATTACTACTGTGGATATGGAGAATTTTTTTTGCCCCCCCAAAAGGGGGGGGCATTGAAGATACCCACCTTCACCCATTTAATCTCACTAAAACAAAGGAGGATGTCAAGCATTGAGGGAGTTTGATTATGTCCTAGTATTTCACTATTCAAGGGCACTTCCAGAATATCCCTGGACTGACTAATGAGCTTTTTTTAAAAATTTATTTATTTATTTTGCTGTGTTTTGTAAGTCTGTATTCTAATTTCTCTGTACAAATCAGAAAATGAAGGATGTATTTAAGCACGGCATTCCATCCTTTGGAATGGGCAGAAAGATATTAAAGATGTAGTAGCTTTTTCAAAATGATCTTAGGTGAGATGACAAAACCAATATAAAACATCGCAAAGTACAGTGAACACATTCACAGAAATGGGAGTGCTTTATCTACCCTCCTTTCCTTCACTCCGTTTCACACAAAGTGTGAATATTTTGTTACTAAACATATGCACTGAAGAGTGACGACGAAAATGTACTCTTCATGCGATTGTCCTGTAAACCAGTTGGTGCAACTGGTGAAAACCAAGAATGAGCTACTGTTTCTCAATATGCCAGAATCAATTTATATTAGTGTACAGGTAGCCCTCAACTTATGATTATAATTTGAGTCCAACATTCCCGTTGCTAAGCAAGACAGTTGCTAAGTGAGCTGCGTCCTGTTTGACAACCTTTTTTGCCACAGTTAAGAGAAATCACTGCAGTTAAGTGAGCCTGGTTTCCCACATTGGCTTTGCTTATCGGAGGCCAGCTGGGAAGCTTACAAATGGTGATCACATGATCCCAGAACACTGCAACTGTCAAAAGTACATGCCAGTTTCCAAGCGCCCAAATTTTGATCCGATGACCATGGCAATGCTGCAATCGCCATACATGTGAAAGGCACTTTTTTCAGTGCCATTGTAGCCTCAAAGTGTCACTAAATGAATGGTGGCAAGTCAATGACTACCACTAGTTTTTTCTAATCACAACATAAGAGGGAGCAAATATTTGAAAACATCCAAAATCTTTACAAGCAGAATCATGTCTTTGACTTGGGAACTGGACTCTTAAGTTATAAAATAAAATATAGAAATTTTAAAAAATAATCCAAGAAAAATCTCCCTCGGTTACTAGTGATTGGGACTTTGCTTCTGGAATCATTGTTTTCGTTTATGGAATTTAACACAGCTCCTGCTTACAGAAATGATATGTCCTTGCAGTCCGTGAGCGGAATCTGCACATTCAATTACTGCGCTGAGTTGAGGATAGCCAACCCCAGTTTTTATCCGAGTAGTGCACACAGAACCTAGGCATGAAGAACAAACAAAATACGACATCACATCATCTTGTGATTTAGATGAAAAGCAGCCCCCCTATCCCTTCAGATAGATGGAGCCCTCAAGAAGCCTTTTCACATATACAGACACATAATAATATTATCATAGGGACGGGACATAATGAGAGAGCTCTTTACTAGAAGACAGGACACGACATCCACAAAAGCCAAATTAACATTTGATAGGAAGACTGAAAGATAAGAGCAACAGAACCAGGAAACACCCCTTTTCTCTTCTTGACTCCTTTATAGGAAACAGGGCCAGAGAGCCTTGGAGGCACTAGATCCAAACCTCCACTCAGCTAGAAATCCACATCAACACTGACATCAATTATTGGTTCACTTCCCCACATAAGTAGAAAATTCGTTCCCTCAGGCTATGTGTCCCCACCCCCATAAACCCAAATTTCACATAATTGAATTTTGATGGCAAAACAAGCCAATTTTTCAGGGCCATGTTTTGATCGCCTTTCATTCAATGTGCTGAGCCGTGGTGGCACAATGGTTAGAATGCAGTCCTGCAGGCTACTTTTGCTGACTGCCGGCTGCCAGCAGTTCGATCCTGACTGGCACAAGGTTGGCGCAGCCTTCCATCCTTCCAAGGTCGGTAAAATGAGGACCCAGATTGTTGGGGGCAATATGCTGACATTGTAAGCTGCTTAGAGAGGGCTGTAAAGCACTGTGAAGAGGTATATAAGTCTAAGTGCTATTGCTACCGGAGCTTTTAGTATTGTGATTTCTGAATGCATCTTTGCATGAGGTTTGAGTCTGGCTTTGTCTTTCACAGCTTCTTTTTTAGCAATCCCCTAATTTTGAGAGTTTTCTCTTTTCAAATCAAATCTGTCGTTTGGCAAAGATGCACATACTTCTGCTTTGTAATCACTTTCAATAATATGTCTTCAATAAAACTCTGGGTATCACTTCCTTTTGAGTCAGTTCCATGCCTATCTATTCTAGGACATAAATGCTTATGGTATTTAGGTTTTTTTTTTCTTCCACATCATTATCAGGATGTATATTTTCCCAGACTATGTGACAGCAGTTGAAGTTGCTTATTTGTTCCCCTCCAGATCTTGCAAAATATATACATACTCATCATTTCCCTTTGGAGGATTGTTGCACAAAGCACAAAAATGGAAATTGTAAGCAGAAGAAACGAAAGGCATCAGATAAGGAAATAGAATTAAACTGAAGTGTTTACGGCAACGCTTTTCACTCAACCTCTTTTTATACTTGCAAATCACTCTTCCAACTTGTCCATTTGTACACCAACTCAGAGATTGCTTTTTTGTTCCTTTGCTAGCTATTTGTTAGTGTATGTATGTACTAAGGATGGAAAGCAAATACTCCTGACATAAATATTAAGCAAGTGATTCAAGCATATACCCTTCTACCCAGCTTACCTGGTCCAATTCCTACTTTAATAATATCTGCGCCAGATAGAAGAAGTTCTTCCACCATCTCTCCTGTTACTACGTTGCCTGCCTGAAATAGAGCCAAAATCATTGCAAATAATGAATAAATCCACAAGGACTGCAGCAGTAAGAAAATATATTTACCTTTCCTCCTTCCTTCTATCCTTCCATTTTTAACCTGCCTTCCACTCTGGGCAGATTACATATACAATGTGCATTCTCACTTGCATGCAGAAAATTGCCTTGTTTTTAAAACCACAATTTCTTTTAAAATAGGAGCGTGATTATTCAATGCCCCGTTCAGCAATCAGTATAATCCTGGTCGATTTACACCCTAAATTTTCATGTGATCAGCAGATGCATGACACATCTACTTTCTATCCTGTAAAAACAAATATTTCCATTAAAATAAACTGTTTCTTTGCCTTGGCATTAACTGGACCTTATAATGTCTATCCCAGATCATTCTGGGAAGCCTCCGCACCCCTATTCTAGTATCTCTTTTCTGCATTTTAAAAAAATGTTCAAAGAGAAGGGAACATCATCATAGCCATAACTCTGTATGAAGCAAATACAAACATTTTTTTTTCATCCATTCTGTACAATCAACACTTTTATTTAATAGAATGGAGAGCTTGCTTAATACAGTAGGCCAGAAAGATTAATATCCAAACAGAAACAAGGCAAAAATTTGCCCTTTCTGACTGAATTATTCAATGCGATGAAACTCCCATTTTCCACTGATGACAATGGTCAAAGCATACATAAAAGAAAAGCACTTTGCCTCAAAAATTGATTTGCTCTTGATGAACTACTACTACTTCAGAAAACAGCCCCAATTCCAAAACAGGCAATATTGCATTTTATTAGCATTTGATAAAAAGTAATTGTCTATCACTTTACATAATTTTGACCCTACTTATGCATGAATTATTTTTTTTGTTTTTGTTATGTTATTTTTTAAACTCATCCTTCCTCCCAGAAGCTTAGGATACTATGTACCTAATAATAATATCGTTGCTGATGGGTATTTGGGAAAGTGCCAATCGTATCTGTGTTCTTACTACTTCTGAATATTTTTAATAAGCTTACAATGCATGAAACAAGATTATTTGTTTCAAAATTAAATCCTTATGATACAGAGTCAAGTTGAAAATCCCATGTTCAAATCCCTAGCTCATTCTAAAACTTACTGATGACATAATTGCCATTACAATTTAACACATGATCCTGTAAACAAACATGCCAATCTTTGTGCTTAGATCTCTATCCAAATCTATCCCATATTTTTCTATCCTTTTAAAGAGACAAGACCACAAATATAATATTATATATTATTAGCTATTCCTTTCCTGGAACGCACTTAAGTTTGTTTTAGATTGGACAGCCTTATGCATTTTAAATAAATACACAAAACTAAAGATACTAAAACTCTTATATAGTTAATTATCTGATTTCCAGTAAAATAAGGTGAGAGTGGGAAGCTAATTCCATAGAAGAGGTGGTTATGCAGTATCCACCCCTATTCCATCCCAAAATAAATATGTTAGTTTCTTGAAATCCTACAAATCTTGTAAGATTTTATCAACATCTTGTGAGTGTGTGGGAACCTCTCTCATGTAACATTTTCTAAAGTATACTTGAGTGGAATGAAGCGGTCTGAATCATCTCACAATAATATGCAAAGACACCAGTCAAGAGCACTCCATCCCACAGAAGAGAAATACAAAATCAAACCATTCATCAATTCTGTTCAATGTTGCCTACATTGACTGGCTGCAAGTTTTCATATAGGAATCTATATAGATGAAACCTGGGTTTTTTCACATACTAAATTCAGAGTTTATTATTTATGGTCCCTTCTTGCTAAGATACAGGACATGGGACATATTGCTGGAATCAAGAAACTCTTTTGCCAAATTCTAAGCCTATCCACCTCCCAACTTCTCCAACTCCTACCATGAGGGTGTGCTTTGGGAACCGGACATGAACAGCTTTCACAAATTCCACAAAGTGTTCTGAGTAACCATTGGCCACATCCAGGCAAATGTACTTGATAAGGGGGATGGCCTCAATGATACTTATCAGCTTCTCGAAATCAGTTAGCCCACTGCCTGAGCTCACTGCTACATGCTGCAAAAAGAAGATGAGAACAGTTCAAGTTTTTAATAGAAATGAGGCCAAAAGAATTCACACTACAGTGAATTTAACTCAATCAACATGCAGTTAAATTTACAAAACTAAAAAAAAATGTTTGGGCTTTCTTTTCCTACATTGTCTTATGCGCTGCACAATGTTTTGCTTTCTACTTGATCTCAATGTTTTTGCCTGAATAAAATACTGTTTTTGCAGATGTTTTCACAGACTACCACTGATCAATAAACCATTTTCATATACCTTTTTGTCAGATTACTTTACTTTAATGTATACACTTGTTATCTAACTTTGCCAACAAATCATCTATTGATATCTTTAATAATTTAAACTCAGTTTTTACACTCCATTAATGTATTGCCGTTCCACCCTGTTCAGGCTAAGATAAGACCCAAAATAGTCCTTTTCAGAGTGAATTTACTTGTAAAGACACACGAAAAGAATTGTACAACATAATCATAAATTTATAAATGTTCATTTAGATATGCCCACATCTTTCCAGTGTTCTAAAATATTAATTTTTATTATATATTATACCCTTGATCTTCCGGGATGCATTAGCCAGAATGATGTGAAATAAAAATAAAATAAAACCAACATGATGCCTGAGTATCAAGATACCTATAAACACCTCTACTGCTCTTCAAGCTCTTTGTCAGTCCCATTTAATTTATCTTTACATATTATTTTAATTAAAAGTAATTATCAGCAAGAAGTTGGCATCCTTGAAAAAGCTATCCTTTAGCTTTTTAAGAATGCCTCAAGGCTGCATTTCGATTCTAAATGTATTTGTAGCAAATAAATATGGCCAACAGTGCTAATTCACCACTTCATTTGGAAGCACATGAGCTGCTGTGTAACCAGAGTATCCAGTTGTGCTACATATGATGGTGAGGATAGTCTCATCTGTTGGTGTTCTAGTAAATGAATGTTTTGTGATTTGTAAGCATCACCACAATTATTTTGTTATTGGGCAGCCTTCCGGCATCCACACATGCACTCCAATTTCTGGAAGTACCATTGTACCCATAACACTGGGTCCCTCTAATAAAATACTATGCATCCTATAGGCCTAGAATCTTTTGGAAGCGTATGATTTTTATCAGCCATTCTCTTGCAAATGGTACATGGCACATCAGTTTTTCTAACATTTCAGGAAATGCAGTCTAATATTTAACTTTGTGGGGGAAAGTACCTCTATGCATTCTGGGTGATCACTTGCAAACAGCTTCCACTGTTCTAGAGTGTAATGCTTCTGTATTGCAGTAAACATGGTGTACTAGAAAAACAAACAAATATCTTATAATTACACTGTTTGATGTAGAGACATGCACACATACAAAACAAAGATCCATGACGTCATTGCAAATACATGAAGGGTTCTTGTTTAAACAATAAGAAGTTGTGAACACGAAACTGAAATAGAAAACTATGCAGAGATCCTAGATTATACATGAAAGACAACAAGGAGCTAAAATGTTTGCCTCAATGCTCCTTTCAAGGTCATTAGTCCTCCCGATTGAAGGAACTGGCTTTAAATGTGAATCCTGTCCATCAGTAATACAATTGCTGTAAATTTCCACGATAGTAGAATCTTAGCATTATTTGTAAATGTTACTTGAATTCAAACATTATAGGCCTGGATGCTAAGTCTGAAATCCTTCATAACAATTTAGTAATTATAACAAGAAATCATTAGAGAAGAACATGACTCTGAGAAAAATGCTTTTCTTATCTAAGAACTGGTACAGGCCAGGACACAAGCATGAGGTAAAGAGGAAGTATGAAAGAAAAATTGTTGGGTGAAACGATAAAGCAGAAGAGGTTATGCATGAGAAAAAGGCATATAGGAGAATTATTATTACAAAATATGAGAAGAAAATACTGTTTAATGGGCACACATTAAGGAATCAGGATTATTGCTTTATTGTTGTTTTTATATTGATTTTTATCCTGAGAGTGAGTTGGGCAGTCATAAAAATTTTCATAAATAAATACATCAAGTTGCAAGGAATGAAGCTGAGAGAGCAAGAAAGTGACTATTGCAACTTTTTAAGAGAAACATTTTAAAAACTTGATTACAACAGGAATAGTTTACTTAAGAAGTAGATATGGTCAAACAAATACAGTATAAAAGTCAAGAATTAATTGGACTGAATATAAAAGTGAATAACCAATAGGCAAGAAGCACACTAAGGTGGTTTGAACATATAGAAAGAAATAATGAAGATCAAATCACAATTAAAATGAATGAATGAATGAAAAGAAAAGGAATATTGAGAAAATTATAGTTGGACAAAGTTGATAACATCCTCAAAAATAGAAAAATCAAAAGACAATGGATAAAGTAATGGATGAATGTGATGAAAGCAAAGAAAGATAAAGTGAATGTTTTCTTTTTAAATTTCAGGCCTTTAATTTCTTTTGCTTAGTAATTTTTACTCCTTTTCTACTTGTATCTTGAAAGAGTATAGTATGATAAGCATGCATGTAATTTTCTCTATTTATGGTGCAATTACTTTAATTTTATTTTGAATGGCATCATATTTTTGATGCTAATTGTTTGGAGGTCAATAAATCAAAGAACAGGATATAGAAGGATGGAAGGAGCAGATGATTGTGGCTTACACAGAAGATGGACTATATGCATTATGCAAACTAGATGTACAAGTATAATGTACATTATAATTCAGTCTCCACGTATGTCTGAAATACTACTAAATCTATACTATTATATTGTATATAATATAAAACTATAAATATAATTTTGACGTTCAATGCCGTCCTTCAAGAGTTATAATAGTGATGGCAGATGTTTTGATCTTGGAGACTGTAACAGTATAATTGTGTAATTTAAATTTCATATTAACATTAGCAAAATTTCTACATATAATTTACAAATCATAAAATTTTAAGGAAATTCATTGCCAAGTGTTAAAAGTTCACTCAGGATATCTTGGGAATTCTTATCAAAAGAATATTTTTTTAAAAATGTGAAAGAGTCCCGCCTTCACTGATGTATTTGTTCCTAGGATTCTTTGAGGGAGGGAAATGGGCTGTTTGACAATAAAATAAATTCAGCCAATAAATTCTTTCATTACAACTTGAAATTAATTCAAATGTTATTTTTATTTCTTTTTTTTATAGGAGAAGAGAATTAAGAAACTTACTTTAGCCATAACTTGTGCCATTTCAAAAGTACCAACAGTGTCCATATTTGCTACGATAATGGGGATACCTGTATAGGTTTGCTTGGAGTTACGGAAGAAGAAGGTACGTGTAAGATCTACCTGGAAAAACAACACATTTATTTGGGTCTGAAAGCAGAATTAAATCATAAAGTTAAGAAAATGCAAGCACTAAAATAATATATATTAAATATTTATTTCTCGACATAAATATACAGTAGTATCTACAATCTCATAATAAATGATTCAGCGTCCTACAATGCCAAGAAAGGAGATAGCCAGTCAATTTATTTCTAACGTTGTTAAAGCATTCCATTTAAGCAATAAACTGATCTAGACCACGAGAAAAGCCTGTAATTTAAATCAGGTAATTAAACTTGTCAGCAAATGTGAGCCATGAAATCACATGCTCAAAAAAAAGATAGATTTTTAATTCGGACATACTTTCCAATCCACCCGTTCCCCTGGCTGACAAAAGTGAATTGGTTGAAAATATTTTTATTGGGCTGTGTTGCCTTTTTCATCAGCTACTCAATTCTTGAAAGAACAAAACAGCAGTGTCTGAGTTGATGTACAAATGGACAAGTTGAAAGACTGGTTTGCAAGTATAAAAAGAGATGGAGTGAAACGTGTTGCTGTAAACACTTCAGTTTAATTATATTTCCTTTTATCTTATGCCTTTAATTTCTTTGGCTTACAAATTCCATTTTCTGACTTTGCTATCAAAAGATCACAAAAGATGATCACGACCCCAGGACACTGAAACTGTCATAAATATGAACCGAATGCCAAGCGTCCAGATTTTGATCACATGACCAGGTGGATGCTGCAATGGTTTGTGAAAAATAATCATTTTTTTCCGGTGCCGTTGTAACTTTGAATAGTCACTAAACAAAGGGTTTTAAGTTGAGGAATACCTGGAAATATTCAAATGGGAAGGCAGACTCTCATTTGCAAGTTCAGCATTAAGATTGAATCTCATATGTCATAATACAGAAAGAATCAAGAGTCAATACCTAACGTGTTTCCAGAAATAGGAGAAAACCAGCTCGGATTCAAGGCTGATGATTATTCTATTCCAATAATTAAGTGAATGATATAGAATCCGACAGGGCCTACTTTCAAATTCACAGTCTCAGATGGAATCAATATGTGAATACTATATTGGTCATACTACACCAAAATAAGTATTTAATATCATTTCACTGAAAGCCACTGTTAATTTCTAACCTGCACTTGTGAATGATGCTCAAGATTATGTGGTGATTAGATTTAAAATTAACACAAATGTATCACATATGGCCTGGTATTTTTAGTTCCTATCTCCTTCAATTAAAAAGGCTCCAATTCTAAAAGATCTTTCAAAGCCCTTTCCAAACGAGAGGAAACTATAGGTCATTTTGGATCCATGCATGCTGGAAACTATATTCCAGAAATAATTCCCCTTATGGTAATTTGTTTCAGAAATATATTTTAACAAATGCTACATAGCAATAATTGATAATTATACAAACGATTTTATTTCAACCAAAGATATTGCAGTAATCTGCATAATAGAGGGACAGGGACCAATCCTGCATTTTCACTAGCAACCACCCCCTTCCTTTTTTCAGTTGCACAAAACAGAGGTACTGTAAGAAAATCTAGAATCCCAGTGGGGGATCTATAGCAGGGGTCTCCAAATTTGTCAACTTTTAAGATTTGTTGACTTCAACTCCCTGAATTCCCCATGTGAAGTCTATAAATCTTAAAATCTTAAAAATCTATAAATCTTAAAATTTGGAGATGCCTGATCTAAACCTGCCACATCCATCCCATAGCCTATGGGCCGCATGCAGCCCTGGACAGCTAGTAATGCGGCCCCACAAGATAGTAAAGTTTTAATTATTATGTGATTTATATACGTTAACTGTATATTTTATATGCGAGCCCAAGACAAATCCTCTTCACTCAATGAGGCCCAAGCAAGCACAACGGTTAGACAACCACGATGTATATACTATCTCCCACAATCTCAGAGACTTGTTCTTTAAACCTGACTTTACACCCTTCATCTGGGAATAGCCACTTCCAACAACGAAGTCAAAATCTGGTCCCACAACATGGATGCATGGACAAAAGGCTTCCAGTTCCAGTTCACGGTGACATTTCAACTTTTTTGATCTTTTATCCTTGGAAAGAGGGCGTTTGTGCAAATAGGAATTCTTCACCATCCTTTTGGAGACTAAACGTTGGGTAGAATTAAATTAATGATAAATGTTGGAAGGCTAAAAGCCGACGCATGAATGGATTTTCTGCTAAACACAAAAAGATGGTTTTTAAGTTCCATTTCCCAGCTTCTCTTCCCTGCGCTTTGCGTGTGTCTTTGTGCGCACTTCGCTGTTCAAGACACCTGACCTGCCGGCCCCAGGAAATCGCCTCTCCAGTCGTGCTTCCACTCAAGAAAAGCTAGGCCTCTCATGGAGGGTTTGTAACTTGAATCGGCCTCCTCTCCTCTCGCCCGCAAAACGATCTGTCATGCCACTTGTTTCCTCTACAAACAGTTCCGAGCACAAAGCAATCCGACTCTAGATCTCCTTGCGTCGGTTCCTTCACCACCGTCCCACCCCAACATTCCCCGCTGGCTTCTTGCAAATTTGGGAGCAATTCCATCAGATGAGCCGGTGAGCCAAAGCGAAGAAACGGGGTTTGACACTTTCCTAAAGATTCTCCTTTGGATCGCAATCTGCAAAAGGTGAGGACAACAACAACAAAAAGCAAAGCAAAGCAAAGCAGTAACTGCTACACAGGGCCGACTTCGCCGGCCGGGTTACGCATGGAAAGTTCTGAAACCCTTTGGACTTCGTATCATCATATGTATGTATGTATATATGTATGTATGTATGTATGTATGTATGTATGTATGTATGTGTGTGTGTGTGTATATATATATATACATACACGCGCACACACACACACGACAAAGGCGGCAACGGCAATAACCCATTAGCTTGAAATGCAAATAGGAAGTGAGGAGGGAGGTTACAACGCATGAAGTCGGGCGCCGCATTTTAAAGAGGGGGGGTGGGGGAGAGAAAGAGAGAGAGAGAGAGAGAGAGAGAAAGAAGCATGCTCCTTTGGAAATGCCCCCACCTCTGCTCTGCTTCGGAGGCTGCTCCGCTTAGGTCTGAGCAAGACATCTTTAAAGTCCAGTTTGAGATCTGCATCTACTCGGGGCATCTCGGACAGGCTGCGGTGCCTCAGGTTTTTCCCGCGGTGGTGGTGGAGGCAGAGGAGGCGGCGGCGGCGGCTTTTCTGAGCCGGCGTCAGGCAGCCCACAAGCCACCCGAGCTGGTCTTCGGGGCCGGCTGAATATTTATAGGGCGTGAAGAAGCGGGAGGCAGCTTCTCGGCCCCATCGCTTTATTAGGAGCGGGCTGGCACGGAATGCACATGGCCTCGAAGCCGGGTCAGAGGGCCTCGCTCTCCGCCTCCGGCTCCTCGCCCGACCTCGCTTTGCCTCTCCCGGGTCGGCACTGCGGCGTTGGCTGGCGTCTGAGCGTTGCGCGCTCCTTACAGCAATGCAGCTCAGCGGCGGCCAGCCGGAGACGTTGCTACACTGAGGAGGAGGAGGAGGAGGCAGCCCTTGCAATGCTGGCGCCGGGAAGAGGCTCGCCGCTGCTTTTCCCGGGAAGGAAAGAGAGGAAGCCGGGCACGCGGAGCTGAAGCCGACGCCGCTTCAGGTCGGAAGCCTGCGGGAGAATGAAGGGCTGAAGAGGCGGTGGCTCTCCTCACACCTTCCTTATTTCTGGAGAAATAACAAGAACTGCTTCTTCTGGTCGCGCGTTCCTTTTTCTTCCTCCTTCCCTCCCTCTCCGCCTTCTTTTTGGTTGTGTGTGTATGAGAGAGTTCTTCTCTTGCATTGTATTTCTATTGGTTTGTATTTATATTGTCTTTCGGATCACTCGTGCGCGCTGCCTGTGGTTGTTTAAAAACAAATGTAGGCGTTGCAAACGGCTTTGAGGCGAACAAAACCTTCCTCTCTTCACAGATTTGCTTTCCAGCTGCTAGCTAGCACAACGGTGCTTCTAGAAGATGTACCTTGTCCATACCTTGTGCTGTGCTGTGCTGTGCTATGACTACAATTCCCATGGTTTCCAATGGGACAGTGTGTCCTCTGAGAATTCTGGGAGTTGTAGTGCCCACAGATCTGGCTGTGAAACCTGCCTTAAAGAGCTTTTGCAAATATGGTTGTAATAATGTATGTGTATCTTCTAGTATCTTCTGTGATCCCATGATACAGATTCTGATAACATTTCAGGTGTCCTTGATTTTCTTTTTGAAAGTAATCTGTGTGTATTCCATCCTGCTTCTTTACACAAGCAGTGTGCATGAATCTCCATACTTGCCCTTTAATTCCATAGAAGTGTGTTACAGCTATTACTAGCGTACTTCCTTACAACCTGCCTCTCTCTTTTCTTAATTCAGATTTTCCCGGAAGAGCACTTCCAGTTCTTTGTGACACCCACTCTGCAATTGGTTTCTTAGATTTATCTCTTAGCAACTTGTTATTTGAGTTTTTGTAAAGTCTTGCTTTTTATGTCAGTGATAGTATTGGTCAATGATGGCTAACCTTTTCATCATCACACGCTGAAAATGCGCTCGCATCAGAGGTGGTATTCAGCAGGTTCTGACCAGTTTTGGAGAACCAGTAGCAAAAATTTTGAGTAGTTTGGAGCAGGGGTCGCTAACATTTTGGACCTCAGGGACCACCAAACTCATAATTTTAAATCCTGCAGACCACTAATATGAATTTTGACTGACAGTGGCTTGCTGAAGTTGGTGGGAGAGAGAGGGAGAGAGAGAGAGAGAGAGAGATCCAATCTAACCTCAGAAGACTGCCAGTGAT